TGATTATCAATAATACGCTCGAGATGAATTTCCCATATGCATAAAACTGGTTCATATACAACCTTTTCAATTTTGAAAACAACGACAGTTGAAAATAAAACTTCATGTTCATCTTATAGATTTTTACTGCACTGGAGACGTCAATTGGAAACATTCTTCCGTTTAGGAAACACCAATTTTCTCCTTAGTGCTTAACTCTGAGACAATATTGTTTTTCCAAAATGTAGGCAGAATAGAGCAGATTCCGAATATCCATACCTCATAACTTACCATATAGTCCAAAATACAAAAGAAATTTGCCAGCGAGAGGCTTTAGCGTTTCTTTTTCACTTATAAGGCTTTTCCGGAAATTCGTCAGCTGGAACAAAACTTTTTTCGCCATTAGATAGCCCAGACTTTGGAGTATTTGGCTATTTGAATTTCGAAAAAGCTTACTTTCGATTTTTCTCTAAATGTCCGCCTGCTTGCCCACTGCGTGTACTTCTTTCTTTGTGTTGCATCATTTTGGTAAGGAATGAGAGAGTTGAGATATCTTCCTTTAGAGAGAATGGTGCCAAACACAAATGATGACCCAGTGGTTGTGGCGTGTTTTTACGGCTTTGTCCAAAAATATGGTTTTGTGCCTCAGCAATTAAGAATTTATTGGAGTTTTCGGTATCGTGTGAGAACTGGAGAAAATTCTGCGTTTGTCAAGCTCAGAACGGAACTTTGGAAGCTGATATGACTAGTCAACGGACGAGTTGCAAAATGGCGTCATTTTCTCTGCCCAACCCGTTAGTATTCTTTTTTAATGATATTATTGTTATTCATAATAGAATACTTTTAACAGCATGTCTTAGAAATCTACTACATGATTAAGAAGTGTATATGGGAGAATTTAAATAATCGGATCGGAGATCGTAGCGTCAATTTAGTTTTCTGACTAGAGCTATTGAAAACCAGTAAACCAGTAAAGTATGAATAATCTTATCAAAATGTAACTTACTATGTAGAAAAATCAAAACTCAAAGTAAAATTCTTGCGAACACTTTAAACTGACAATGCCTATTCTAATGTAGCATCCAAAAATGCTTCCAGTAGAAATCCGGCAACAGATTTTTTACAACGGAAAGAATGAAAGAAAGGCGTTACGAGGTACTCAGTTATTGTTTCTTCTTCTTTCTCATCTTTTACTCGCAAAAAGTACGATGAGTCAGTACTTGTAGCCGGTTTACAGGATTTACTTTCCGATGATTAATTTTTATTTTAATTAGCTTTTTTCTTATAGAAAAGGAGAGATGTATGTTTTTTTTTGCTATAATGAATTTACTTTCCAATAATTAGATAAAATATGAATACTAATTAAATAGTATATACTTGCGGTAAATATTAGGATGTGGTGAATTTGTCTGCACAAAGTAAATTACAATTTTCATAATTAATATGTTCATGGGCCATTTTTCTTCCTTCCTTTGTTGTTTTCATTTGAAATATTCATAAACTATTAGAATGATCAGAGCTAGGGCGTTGTACATTATGCATGTTTAATGTCGCGCCTAAATCAAAGGGAATTTTACATTCTTCTGGATGTTCACTATTCAACTATGTCAGCAAAAATTATTTTGTTACTATCAGCTTCAGTTTCAAATAAAATACCTTTTTAATTATAATCTGATGTAGCAAAACGTTCTGCAACATCTCTCAAACGACTTGTCGAAATAAATTCATTTAATGATATAATATTACCAACATTAGCTGCTGATGTTTCGGTTTCAGTTCAAAAACTACAATATAGATAAGTAACTACTTTACGTTGTTGTTTATGTTCTAAAGCTAATTGATGCTAATATCAGATACATACGAACGAAGTGTATATTATTCAGTCATCTCTTGTGTTCTTAACGCTTTATTGATCATTTTATAAACAAATGTTTCTTTTGTACACTATTCAATACAAATTGCCATGTCTAATTCATAGGTCTGCTCAAATAAATTAATATTATGTAGTTCAGTTTGATTATTTCGATAATATTGTCGACATTTTTTTAACATATGATTGTTTTGTATGTTTCATAATTATTTCTTTGGCTAATTGTAACCATAAAGATTCAGCTGATCGATGAGATAGTTGACGTAGTGATTTCCGGTCACTATTCTAAAACGTAAACAGAGCCATTTGTTTTTTAACTATTTTAATTTGTTTATGAATAACTAATTTGAGTTCATCTAACTTTGTTTATATATCAATGATTTTTGAATATGTTACTAGTAGATGTTCGTATTTTGAACGATTCGTACAAAATAGAAAGACAGAATCGATTTGCGGTAAATTACGTATTTCATTTAATATTTCACCAACTGATGATCCAGAAAGAATCAAAAAGATCTTTTCTTCAGTAGTGGTTATTCGATTGACAATATTGAAAAAAGAAATTCTTATCAATATAACACAAGACATAATCATTAATTTCACGAAGTATTTGTTTGATGCATTATTAAACAAAAGCAAAAGGCTGAATATACATTGTGAAAAAATTTCGAAATAAACGTGTAGAAAAAGGTTCAGAATATTCGTTCGAAAAAAGCCTATCAGTCCCCTCCCAGGAAAGGTTTTGAACATTTAATTTTTACCATTCATGAACAAAAATGAACAACGGTCAAACTTTTTGGACGAGGCACCACTCTCTACACTGGATCCTAGGTGGTCTAATCATATGAGATCGTCTACTGTTCTGGAGGCTTAACACAAGATGAACATGTCTGGATATGCTTCGGAGATCGAATAGGATCAAGCAGAAGACAGTACTCGTCGCTAACAGATAGAACTCCTGCATCTCTACGTATTTATGACTTTTTTTGAATATAGTAACATCTAGTGAATGACCAGCTGAAGACGGTTTTGTACGAGATGCAAATATTTTTCTTCTCAACATAACATATTTGATAGAAGCCTTAAAAAGTTTATGGCGTTGACAAAACTGGTTCCTAATATCTGCTTTCACATATGGTTAATTTGTATCGAACATCTTCCAAATCTCTTTTGCTTCAATTTTGCTGTATGAATGTAACCAAAAGTTTTTATTAGCAATGTTGCACGAGAGATACAATATAGACAAATTTCCATACTAATGCGGCTATAACGCCCTTAATTGCTATTATATTACGAGACTTCTTTTTACTTTTACTTTTATTTTCGTGAAAATAAAAACAAAAAGAAAAAGAAAAAGAAGTCTCTTAATATAATGGCAATTAAGAGTATTACAGTATGAAATTTTGTCAATCTTATCTTGCTCTTTACACAATCTGATGTTATCAGATACGCTATACAATCGTCATTTAAAAAATGTACATAAAAACGTAAAGTAACCACTATAGTCCTAAGATTTTATATGGAAGACTATGATGTTTAGTTACGATTTTATTTTAACCTGCGGTGCAAAAGTAATTGTCGAAATCTTTAGCCATAGTTCTCCACTCAGCAACATCGTAGAAAGTTCATTCTTTTTCTAGTTGAAAGATCAATACTTGAACTTCAAAAAACATACGAAACAAAAGTTTTGGGATTGGCTTTGAGGAAGAAAAAAGTACGATACCAAAAGGAGATAAAAAGGATCGTGCGACGTACTTGTTTTCTTTATTTTTTTACTAGAGTGTGAAGAAAAATGTTTTCTTGAATACCAGATAGATAAAAAAGTAGCCGTGCAAAACTCTATCGACTGCCCTAACTTAAGAAGTTTCTCAGTAATTCTTTAACGGTAAATAAAGTGCATTATAAGTTTTAGTTTTGATAGGAAGCGCTACTTTGCATGGGAAAGATGGGACATGAACAAAAATTCGTTATTCGGGGCTCTAAACATGTTAGTAAAGGTTAAAACTAATGTGAATTTGTAGAGAATTGCTCACTGTTTCAGAAAATGTGTTTTAGAAAAAGGAGCAAAATTCGTCCAGTATCCGAAACTTTTTAATTAAGTCTAATTACCTGTTTTTACAAACTAATGAAAAACTTACAAAGTTCCGGCCGAAAAGTGGATCAAAGCATAATTTATCATACCCCATTGGAAAGAGTGATTAAAACACTTCTAATTTCTATAATTATATAATTTCAAACGTATTCTGTTATAGGGAAAAATAGATTTGATGAGAGAGATACGCTTGAAGACGACAAAAGTTGTAAGAGCTTTTTTAACGACATTTGGTATCGTACTTTTTTCTTCCTTAAAGCCAATCCCAAAAATTTTGTTTTTTATGTTTTTTGAAGTTCAGGCTTTGCTCTTTCAACCAGAAAACGAATGAACTTTCTGCGATGTTCCTGACCGAAGAACCATGGGTGGAGATTTCGGTAATTACTTTTGCACCGCAGGTTATTCTTGAAGCGTCATTTTCTTTACTACGAATGATCATTTTTTTGGTTCCCCCTGTATATTTACATACGACAATTGTTGATAAGAAGATTTTTCCTTCTCTTTTCGCTTGTTTCTTCTTGACTTTTGCCTGAATTAAACCTGAGGTATTGTGTATTATAATAAAAAGATAAGAGAACATAATAAAATATTTTACATTTTTCTTTGTTTTTTCAGTCGACAGAAAAAACTATACATAGGCACATACATGGCATCCAAGAATAATACAGCACAAGCGACAACAACTGAAAGATATGCTGATATAAAAAATGAACGACCAGAAAAAATATTATTACCAATTGAAGGTTATCAAGATAGGCCAATAGTTTCATTGGAAGAGGCTGTTAAATCGATTGAACATCTGGTTCCAGGTATCGAAGTCAAAGTTTATGTTGCCAAGCAAAATTGTAAACGACCTTCGGCACCGTTAAATCAAGATGAAGCGGCTGCCATTCAGCTTTACACAATAGAGTCAATAAACACTGAACAAAGCCTCTACTTTGTATTAAATCAAACATTACGATCGGAAAATCGTCAAAAACTAAAACCATGGTTCAGCTATTTGAAATTACTTCTGACAGCACTTTCGAAACTGCCAACTGTATCGAATACAACGGTTTATCGTGGTGTTAAAACAGATTTATCTAAGTCATACGTTAAGAATCAGATTGTCGTTTGGTGGGGTTTTAGTTCCTGCACACAATCTATTGGTCAATCTGAACAATTTTTGGGTAAAACTGGAAACAGGACTCTCTTCAGTATTGAATGTCAAAATGGTAGAAATATTCAAAATTATTCATTCATTCCAGCTGAAAATGAGATTCTACTTTTACCGGCAATACATTTACAAGTCGTCAGCTCATTGACGCCAGCCGTGGGTATTCATATGATACAACTGAAAGAAGTCAATGCCCCATTCCGTTTTTTAGACTTCCCCGTCTCACCTCCTACACCTGAAAAAGCTCCCACATCTGAAACAAGAAAAGGAAATGTAAAAGACCCTGAACCAAAAAAAGAGTCAATATTAATGACGAAACCGACACCTGAAATAATAGCAACAACAGGTCAATTTAAAGCATTCGTCATTGATCAATCGAAACAACCCTTTTCGGAAACCTATCGAAATAAACAATTAGAACAATTTATAGAGAAAAATAAAACATCCTATAGCTTTGATCTAAAAGGTAAACAATTGAATGATGAAGACATGAAAATAATATCGAATGAAATCAAAATAAATGGTAATTGGAGCAATCTTTCGTTGACTGATAATGAAATAACTGGAGAACAGGTTAGATATTTATGCGAAGCATTACAAACAAACACAAAAATAAGCACGCTCACACTGGATACAAATAAATTATCCGATACAGGCGCAAGCTTTGTTGCAAAATTATTGTTGACAAATAAGACTCTTACATCTATTGCTCTTAATCATAATCACATAACCGACGAAGGTATTCTGCATATTTCAGAATCACTGAAAGTAAATACGTCTTTGCAATCTCTTTCCCTTTGGAATAATCAAATAACAGATGAAGGTTTATCTTCATTAATTCAAGTTCTAAAAACAAGTGATAATTTTCAAAATTTATCCTTCGGTGCTAATCAAATTACAGACAAAAGTGTCCATCTAATTATAGAACTGGTGGAAATTAGTAATAAATTGACTGCTTTAAATTTAAATGATAATCAAATATCCAAAGATGGTGGAGAAAGAATTAAACAAGCAGCGAAAAAAAACTGGAATATCCAACATATCTATGTATGAAATAAGGAAGGCAATATAAAATCCTGACAAGTTTTTGCTGGTCCATTTTTGCTTGAAGTGTGTCTGACTCCACATTTTTTTTAAAATTGTAGCAATTAAGTTTGTTTGAAGATGAACATGAAGTTTTATTTTCAACTGTCGTTGTTTTCAAAATTGAAAAGGTTGTATATGAACCAGTTTTATGCATATGGGAAATTCATCTCGAGCGTATTATTGATAATCAAGATTCTACGATGGCTACTACTGTTCGGTATTATATCAATCAATAACATTCAATTAATGGTGAATTAGAAATTTTGTTTTTTATTTAAACATGAATATAGTCTAGAAGCCAAAAAATTTGTCTAAACATTAATACTCAATTAATACGCAAATCTACTTGAAATAATGTAGTTTTATATTGTTATTGGTCTTATTTGTACATAAAGTGAAGCCTTAGAAGTGAAATATTACCAACAAGCGTGACCAGTTGAACATCCACTACGAAATATTGTTAAAGAGAAACTATGAATTCCATTAGACAATGGCAAATGTGCACTTTTATGAAAGATGATGAATATTTATTAGCATTAAAATATTATGAAACAATTGAAATTTCATTTAGAAATGAATTCTTGTTAGAAACTATTGCTAAACAAATATCGAATGTATTTATTTAAATTCAAAAGTATGTCATCGAAAAATCACAAGCTGAAAATATGGTATTTGATATTGTTCATATAGAAAATTCAAGTTGTTTTAACAGAATAAAAAACGAATTTACTCTTTAATGCATATTTAAATTTGAAAATTAAATCTGAGATATTAAGAAAGAATCCTATACTTGTTCATTTAAATGGAATGCAACAAATTATATTATCAACATTTGATGAGATTTACAAAACAATTAATTCCTATGATCAGCCGGTTCAAAGTTTTGACGTTTTCCGCTCCTTTAAGTTCTCTACCACACTATTTGATGAAAATATCCAAAATAAATTTTTTTATCTTTATGAATCGCAAAAAAATAAATATATAAATACTATTAAAACGTTATTTAAATGTGTCATCATTAATAATAAATGCATTGCAAATTAATTTATTTATCTTGGACTTGCTAATTCTTATTAGGTAAGTTGACTGTTACGTTTAGAACAAGTAAGAATATGATATTTAGTAACCTAATTGTTTGCAAAAAAATCTACAGGTAAAGATCCCACATACTGGCCACTCTCTGGCTCTATTTTTTCACACCAGACCCATCTACTAAAAATCACATAAAAATCGGTAATTAATCGTGAAAAATCATACGATTAATCGTGCGCATAATCGCGATTATTTGCCGATTTTTTGGTGATTTTTAGGCGATTAATCGCAATTAATTGACGATTTTTTTCTGGATACTAGGTTCGAATACATCTTAGGAAATACACATTTTTTTCTGTTTTTTCATTGTTTATTACGTATAATGACATGTGCTTCACACTGCAATGGTCTTAGCGCCAGCTGGCGTCGGAGTCTTGCCGACGAGTCAGCTTTAAACATTGCCCACATACCAGCTGTTCAGTGGGCTTCTCGGTTTAAAGCTCTGAGGAACAATAGAGAAGACTCTTGACAACTCCGTTGTATTTTAAAATAAAAAGATGATCTGAATATAAGTGTATTTTTCGCTGAAATCGTGTTTCTCAAACCAACTTTATTGCAAAAGAAAACGGTGAATAACAACTACCATTTAATCTCTTAGAATCAACAATTAATCGCAATTAATTCATGAATTTCGTGATTAATCACGATGCACGAAAAAATTATCACTTAATGGCGATTGAATGGCCATTTTTTCCCGAATCGCGATTGAGCGTCGATTTCTTTGAACCATCGCGATTAATCGACAAAAATGAAGCGATTTTCAGTACATGGTGAGCGACTTATTAGCTAAACTGAATAAAGAACATTTACGATAGTCCTATACATTGCAACTGAAGAAAGAAAAGAAAATTGCACAGAATTGTGAGCGGACGAAACACGAGTGCATGACAGAAAAAGAAGAAAATGAATATCCAGAAATGCCTCCAGATATTCAATTTGAAGTTGAATCGAGTTTTATGAGCTGGTTGTCTTTGTCAGTTTTATATCGTGACAATTATAGATGCCGCTTAGAGAAAATTGCACAGAATCGTGAGCGGACGAAACATGAGTGCATGACAATACGTGAAGCGTATAAACCAGTCCGCTTCTCTCCTTATGAGTTACTCATCTCTAAACGGCATCTGTAATTGTCACGATATAAAACTGACAAAGATAACCAGCTCATAAAACTCGATTCAACTTCAAATTGAATATCGGGAGGCATTTCTGGATATTCATTTTCTTCTTTTTTCTGTCATGCACTCGTATTTTGGCAGCTCACGATTCTGTGCAATTTTCTTTTCTTTCTTCAGTTGCAATGTATACCAAATGTAACTTGGTATTTTCCAACCGATGACTCATATCGTTGACGAAGAGGAAAAGCTTTTACCTAGTATGTTTTTTCAACGAAAAAACTAAACAAGTGGATAACGTTTTCTCTTTCTCATAAACGTAACCTATTGATACGTACACACATCACCTATGAAATAACATAAATATGTTTACTGTTATGTGTCAGTTATTTTTCAATTTTTCATGCGCTTTATTTTGGAAATGTCTAATATAGTTTTATATTCAGTGAGAGTGAATGAAAAAAATTCACTTTTTTCGAAAAATACGGTAATCTTTCAGCTCGTCACGTTTCACCCAAAACATACGCGATTTTCGTAACCGGCCAAAGCTACGTACGCGGCTTTCGTATTAGTTTTTACAGGGCTTTCGTATCGGTTTTACGCAGCTTTCGTAACAGAATAGTTATGTGCCAAATCCATTCTAAGGCACTCTTTACAGGGCTTTCGTATCGGTTTTACGCGGCTTTCGTAACAGAATAGTTATGTGCCAAATCCATTCTAAGGCACTCTTTACAGGGCTTTCGTATCGGTATTGTGCGGGCCTTTCGTATCCACATTTATAAGCGGCTTAGGCATGGAGATATGTTTTCGACAGAAGCCTTCATTCTACAAGGTTTTCGATGTTTTCTCAGTCATTTTCTTTCTGTTGGAGAGTAGTATGAATACTTGTAAATTGTGAATTAGAAATTTTGTTTTTTATTTAAACATGAATATAGTCTAGAAGCCAAAAAATTTGTCTAAACATTAATACTCAATTAATACGCAAATCTACTTGAAATAATGTAGTTTTATATTGTTATTGGTCTTATTTGTACATAAAGTGAAGCCTTAGAAGTGAAATATTACCAACAAGCGTGACCAGTTGAACATCCACTACGAAATATTGTTAAAGAGAAACTATGAATTCCATTAGACAATGGCAAATGTGCACTTTTATGAAAGATGATGAATATTTATTAGCATTAAAATATTATGAAACAATTGAAATTTCATTTAGAAATGAATTCTTGTTAGAAAATATTCCTAAACAAATATCGAATGTATTTATTTAAATTCAAAAGTATGTCATCGAAAATCACAAGCTGAAAATATGGTATTTGGTATTGTTCATATAGAAAATTCAAATTGTTTTAACAGAATAAAACAATCTGAAGAACGAATATTATTGTGTCTGACTCCATATTTTTTTTAAAATTGTAGCAGTTAAGTTTGTTTGAGGATGAACATGAAATTTTATTTTCAACTGGCGAGAAAAGAGTCAATATTAATAACGAAACCGACACCTGAAATAATAGCAACAACAGGTCAATTTAAAGCATTCGTCATTGATCAATCGAAACAACCCTTTTCGGAAACCTATCGAAATAAACAATTAGAACAATTTATAGAGAAAAATAAAACATCTTATAGCTTTGATCTAAAAGGTAAACAATTGAATGATGAAGACATGAAAATAATATCGAATGAAATCAAAATAAATGGTAATTGGAGCAGTCTTTCGTTGACTGATAATGAAATAACTGGAGAACAGGTTAGATATTTATGCGAAGCATTACAAACAAACACAAAAATAAGCACGCTCACACTGAATAGAAATAAATTATCCGATACAGGCGCAAGCTTTGTTGCAAAATTATTGTTGACAAATAAGACTCTTACATATATTGATCTTAATATAATCACATAACCGATGAAGGTATTCTGCATATTTCAGAATCACTGAAAGTAAATACGTCTTTGCAATCTCTTTCCCTTTGGAATAATCAAATAACAGATGAAGGTTTATTTTCATTAATTCAGGTTATAAAAACAAGTGATAATTTTCGAAATTTATCCTTCTGTAATAATCAAATTACAGACAAAAGTGTCCATCTAATTATAGAACTGGTGGAAATTAGTAATAAATTGACTCACTTATACCCCTGGCAAAAATAAGTTTCCCTCTGTATTTTGAGAATATTGTTACCAAACGAACATATTTTTTAAAAAGTAACGACATATTCGGGAAGCCCGTGAAATTTTACATCTTTCTGTATATTTATATTTTTGTTCGGACGGCTGTATAAAAAAATTCTTCCAATGAAGTGTACACACCTTTAGTACTCCATTTCGATATACCTAATACAATCATTGACATCTCGCATAGTTTTTCAAATTTTTTTCGATAGTAAAAATAAGCTTTAAAAAAAGTAATCACATATTCTGATAGAGCTTGAAATTCTCTATCTTCCCATATACTTACCCATCTTCTCACACTTATCTGTTAATCAATAGTTAAAAAATAGCGAATGTGATTACGGTTGACAAGTACTAAAATTTTACTTTTTTTTTTCTTTTTTTTCTAAATTGATTTTCCAAATCAAATGAATATCAGAATAGAATTTATACCAATCGATAGTGCGTAAAATTCTCTATTCATCTGTATGTTTTCATGAGCACTTTTGTTATTTTTGTCAGCTATTATTCATATATCACGTCGTCATACATGACAAAAGTTTCAAACAATTTTTTCATATTTTTTTATTTTCAAGTTCAAAATCACCACGATTACAACCGTTACTCTTTTTTCCTTACAAATTCATATATAAAATAACCAAGTTCGTGTTTCTTTTACACAGTTAGGGATGTACTAGACCCGAACGTTCGTATTCACAGCAAGCTTGAGTTTAGATTGGGTTCGGATTTGACCTCGGTTCTTCTAGTAAACTAAAGCGCACTGTTGTCGAACATTTCACATTCAACTCTTACATATACATATATTTCTCTCTTTTATTCAACAACAAGAAAGAAAGTTTTATCATACTACTGTAAACAATGAAGTTATCCAATAATCTGATTAGAATAGTCTTTTTCAAATTAACAGCAGCCATAGATTAAATTGGAATTTATTTTATTAAAAAAGGTCTGACGTTTAGACTCTTTATAGAGTCATTTTCAAAGAATATTATAGAACATTTCTGTACTTTACACATGAAACAATGTGAAAAGGAAGAAGACTTGTCTTTATATACTGTGTGTTACTGGTAAACAGTCAGTCAGTAATTATGTAATAAAATGGAACTCATATGTCCTCATTTCCTATAAACGCTCAGTCATTACTGGTGTGATTCATGGAGCCATTAATATTTGTTCAACTTATTCACTATTACATGAGGAATTGAATATTATTTGCAAAAATAGCTAGAAGTAATGGTTACCCCAGTTCCTTTGTTGAAATGCTCATTGGGACAAAAATTAGTAAATGGTATAGTAAATCTACGTGTATTGATACTGGTATCGATAAGAAAAAGAAAAGATTGTTTATTGAAGTGCCTTGTGTTGAGAATAGTACAAGAATGTTTAGAAGTGACTTATGAAAATTTACTAGTCAAATTCGATCGGATTCACAATTAACAATTATTGAAAAGCCTCCACACTGACAGTTCATAATTTATTTAATTTTACGGATAAAATACCAAATTACTTAAAGTCTGATGTCATTTACAACGTTAAATGTAAGGACTGTGGTTCACAGTATATGGGTAAAACTAAATGACAAGCATGTGGACGACGCTATGAACATGGATTACCTAAAGACACCTATAGTTCTCAATCATATTAACCATTATCTAATATGAATTCATCCTCTATGACCACATCAACACAATCAATGAGAACAGCTCGAGCAGCTAAAATAAAAGTTACCCAGAAAATAACTGAGCAAGTTAAACTAATGAATGCCTCTGATCAAAAGATTCTCAATGAGATTGATGATTATTCAGACACGAAACTTTAAAGATGGAAAGTCTGCTCTACAAAAACATGTTGAAGATACCTCTCACACTATTGATTGGGAGAATTGGTGTATAATGGACAGGAACAAGGTTGAATATCGATTGTTAGTCAAAGAGTCTCCCGTAATAGCATCATTCAATCCTGACTTAAATCGTACAGTTAGATCTGTACCTTTAATTGTGTTTCCCGGCGGCCTTTCTGATAGAAAGAACAAGAAGAATATTGATCCAGGATCCAGGCAGATAGAGAAAAGTTATAAAGAGCAGGACAAAACGACTGATAACATAATTACTGGCTGACTGTTTATCAGCAACACACAGTGTAGCCTTATAGCACATTTTAATGCGGTGCATATGTCGACATTCAGACGCATTTGTTATGATAGAACGAAGAAGGAATCGAACAAAAAAACAGAAAGACAAACGGCACAAAAAGACGAAGAAAATGATGACAATCAATCATAATTCTTAACGGCTATTTTTCTGCGTTCAGTTTTGTACTAAGGAGTTTTAACTTAGACGGTAGTTATTTGACACATGCTGAACTCAAACATCTCAAAACAGTGTACTTGAAAGATTCCATGTAGCGCAGTCTCGAGCTCCAGTACACAAACGTTCAGGAAAAAACACGTACAACCAAATATTGTCGATGAAAAAAAAGCTCTTCAAGATCGTTTCATACCGGGAATGAACTGAACATTCGAATTTGATAACTATTTAATCTTAATGATGCTATGATGAAAGGTGTGCGCAATCATTTTTCCAGCTAAAATCGAATTAAAATTTGTCTAAATAAAAGTTAAGTCGAAGGACATGAGTTTTGTATCTTTGTCGTACGAACAGGAAACTTCCCACGATAAAGTTGGCCCAGTATGTTTAATGAATTCTTTCTTAATTCGCGCAAGATTTGTGCGTGGCATTGTATCATCGATGTCCTCGTACTCGATGTAAAATCTTTTCATTGTTGATGACAAATACTTTCTCAGCAAATCATGCCATTGTACACCATCGAGAAACGGGGGTTTTCTCATCGGCATCTGATTTCTCACAGCAGGACGTTTGCTAGCGAATAATCTCAGAGCCAATAAATTCGGTGGAATTACGAGTTTGAGCAACTGTTCGACTTTTTCCAATGTCATCTCGTACTTATACACGTTGACGTGACGAAGTGTAATAGGATATTCAATCGATGTTTTTTCTCTTAATTGACTTCGATAATTCTCAATGTCATCTCGTCGCATCCATTTTCTCTTACGATCGCTTGAATGGTGATGAATTGTGAATACTTTTAATTTTTGAAATCGATAAAGTAGTGGTATCACACGCTTAATGTCGTGAATCCAAATTGTTAAACTTACAATAGTATTATTAACAACAGTCGACGGTATGTAAGTTATCGGATCGATTCCTTCTGAATATTCTAACGTCAAATATTTTAACAATGGTAACTCTGTGAGTAGATACGCGAATGATTGAGCAGCACGGACACCAACTCCAGTGTATGCCGTATCACTGAATCTGATCTTCAGACTCATTAACTGATGTTTGAAAGTGCTCAATATCTCGATTATCCTATCTTCGAATGTGCACAGAGGTACGACTAATAAAGAAAGTGACTTAAATCGTCTTACACTAGGTTTGCTAAAAAATGTTTGTAATAAGCTGACGTTTTCATATAATAATACAACCGAAACTACATTTTGTTCATGAAATATGTCGTGGAAAATGCGAAAAAATTGTTTTTTGGTTCGAGATAAATTCAGATGAACATTGGGTGTGTTGGAGACATGCTGATTGAACTGACTATTTAGACCGTAGAAAGATTCGTAGATTTGATTGCCCGTTAGATAATCAAAAATATCGAAGAGAATCTCGAGTGAGAGTTGTTCAAGCGTTGTCATTGCATGTACACAACTGCGGATGGTTTAACACGATTCTTCTTTTACAGAGTGTGAAATAAGAGACTGTGTTGTTTGAGAATTATTTTTTCTTTCTTTTTCATGCTCCAGGCAATGTATGGATTCATACAAACATGTTGAAAGTGCAAAAAAATAAAATTCTGAATCACGCATAATTCGCAATAAATTGAATTCCATTAATTTTTGTTCTGTCTTATTGAATAACTGTTAGAAGAATTATTTCAATGCTAAATGGGACGGCCATATTAAATCTCCGAGATATTTTCCCACAACTTCATGTTATGACGAAACTTATTCAAGAAATTATTCCATCAGTCCAAAGTCTTTAGCAGAAATACTCGAGAATACTTCCATTGCTCAAACTTTTTGAATTTTTTGTCCCAATGTTTGTTCAATTGTTTGGTGTTTCTGTAATTCTAGCCTTGCAATATTTATCTGTTCTACATCTCAAGTTCTATTTGTAGTAGAAAAAAAGGTGTATTGGATCACATTGGTGCCGAAATACAGCAGAAATGTGACGGTACATATAGCGAGGAAAGCTAGCTTTCTGACCTGAGCCTTTTAGTATTTTAGTTTAACTACAAGCTTCCTAGATTATTCCTTTATGCAGTTTTATTTCCCGACCTTCGGTGTATCTTTTAAAACATAGATGTGATCGAAAGAGTTTAAATAAAAGTGACGTCAATAGATCGAAAATATTAAAGACGTCGCTTTTATTCAGTTATTGACCAAACTTTTTTAAAAATTTTTATAACTCAGAAGGTATAAGTCCGATAGCCGAAAAAGTTTTTTCGTAACCGCAGTTTAATGTGTACAACCAAATAAGATCATAAATAGCACATGTTAATTTTTCTCATGAAGTGATGTTTGGCCTATATAGTCTGATAGAGAAAAGTATGCTCTATTTTTCTATGCTATTTGGCTATACTTCAACTAATATCATAATAATAAACTTTCGATAAGATTTGTGTTGTTATGATATGTGCTGGTTGTACTAGATCATATTTTATGTTCGATGTGTATTCTCTTCTTTTTGTTCTTCTTCTCTCGTTTTTTTCTTCTTTTGTTTCGTCTCCTTCAATACCTTGACTCTCTATCAGACTATATAGAAAGAAAGTTTCTTGAAGCTTTTTATAAGGAATTACAGTATCTCCGCCACCACTTTTGGACTGCCCTAAGTAGTTTTTAGGTTTTCCAATTTACGGCTTAGAAAAACTGAAAAATTATCAGTGATACCTCATTTTGTTCAGAATTTTGTGCTCTTTGTAATTATGTAAGTTGAAAGCCTTTTTGATACACTTAAGGATTTCCAGAAACCTTCATCGGTTTTCAAGAGATCCTTATAAGACTCCAAACTTTTGAGACCGGATTTGGATAGTCCACACTTGAATGTCTATGGGAAAGGGCATCTTGTTTTACACTTAAGCCAGAAGCTCGAGAACGGCGGCAAACAATATAAATCCCTAAAATCCTCAGAAGACCTTCGGTGTCGAATTGAAGGTTGAGGTAAAAGCGATCTGATCGCATTATCGGATAGACCGTGCAATGAACTACATAAGGTGAAAAAATCCCTCTTCCATCACTTGTCTAGGCGGAGAAACAGTACCTTCATTTTTGCTGTCCGTTTTTTTTTGGACGCTGAATTTTTCATCGAGCGGACTCCAGAAAACCGTCTAGAACTCAGAAAGTTAAAATCCTAGAAGGCTCAAAATTTGGATTTATAGGTTGTGGCACATGCTGAACAAGATAGGACTAGTTAGAAGCAAATCTGAGACATCGATTGAGCACGGTCTTATGGTAATCTGTCGTTTTTCTCGTGCAATAGCTTCTAGAAAAACATTTTGGCGAAAGTTTTTTGAAAATTCCCGTATATAGGGCATATTCCGATTTCTTTTGGCAGACTAATAGAAGACCAGTGGTCTTCTATTTGGCTTTCAAGCCATATAATCGGCAGTGGTCTTCTCTTTATCGGGGAGGGGGAGGAATTTAATCTTTAAGTATAGCAGTCTATGTCAGCTATCTCAGGTGTGAGGCTAATCAAAAGATTGAATGACAAAGTTTAGATTCTATTTTCCAGCATCAAGCACATTACGATGCTGTTAATATTTCGTGGTCAACATGATCTTGACAGGAAGTGTAGGTTTTTCGGAAAGTTGAGATTACCTGTAAAGAATTGGTACTTTCGGTTTTAATATTAATGGCATCATTTCCTTTTCTAACTTTTTGACTGGAAAATTTATTTTAGGAAGGGAAACTGAACTGTGGTGTTGTGGTTGAATCGGAGTGGCAAGAAAGTGTGTTTTGGGACTTTGTATTCGTTCAGTTGTTGTATATTCTGTTCTATTTGGAGCTCCGAGAATATTTAATGTCTCTTCAAATTCTGATTTTGCTTTCTTCCCGAATGGTATCATATCGCGCGCGAATGAGTTTTAATCGATTAGCATGAGGAGACCCAGGTGAGTTGGGAGGGGAATCCTTCGGTACGAGTATTTCACTATGCTTAAACAATAAGCTCGCATGAGTTAAACCAACGGCAGTTGTAAGAATATGTGGTATTTCCATCGGTACTGATAATTGTTGACCATCTTCAAATGGAGAATTCTCTTCTCATTTGCGCTAGAAACGATCTTAAAATACGAGTCAACATATGTCTTAAGACTAGTGTCTTCATCTAACGTCTCAATTTCTGGGCCACCTGGATGGTTTTCTAAAACTTGGCCATCTTGAAAATTTGTTTCGAGTAAAGTCGAAGAACCCAGACATAAATGGCGTAGATTTCGTTTTTCAAGAAGATCCTGCAGTAGTGGTAAGGCGCTGTCAAAATGAGTATTACCTATAGAATTTTCATTGGTATTATGGGTGTGACCATTTATCGTTGGGAGAAAGCATCCTAAAATTCTACATGAAAACAAAGTCCTTACGTCTCTCTATATTAATAGCTCATATCAAGAATGGTATCGGTGAAGCAAATTATTACGTACCTGAGGTTATAAAAGCCAGGACAAAAATGTCAATACTTTCACATTTACTTTCACTAAAAACTGGTGCTTGATTACATTCGGTGTAATCGATTAAAAACTGTTTCCGTGTAAGCCAATTATTTGTATTACCACTATCGAACACAGACATGAGTTGAAGTGTAACAGAAAAAAAGTTCAATATGGTAGTGGTCGTATAATGTGTATATGCATACAGCAATACAAAACACATACAAACATTCTCAAAATATTTACAGAACTGAATGGAATCAACTGTTTCAATAGTTTTTCTTGTCATCCATTAGAGTTCGGAAAGGAAGTTTTAATTTGAAGAAAGAACTTTTATTAAAATATTTCAACGGTCCTTTTCTTTTGAATTTTCTTTATGTAACTATTTTGAGCAGCCGTTCTTGTTGATAAAATAACATATATTATAACCATTCTTTCTGTGAGGATGATTACCAAAAGAGTGTCGTTCTATTCTTGGTCGTATCAAATCTATCGCTCTGCAAGAAAGAGAAAGAAAATTTTATATCATACGGAACTGATGAACTCTATTTGACCTCTGCACAACAGAGAAATACTAATTTTATTTTGCTTTCCTATTCTTTTATTTTTTTCTCTTAAAGTATCTTTGCAAGCACTGCTACACGTTCAGTTATCAACAGCATTACATCCTGAATCTTTTTACTTCCTCGCTCACCATGTTTAATCAGTCTTTCGACGAGAATATCAAATGTTTTAGCGGTGTATTTTCATCTATTATTATTATTCCAACAATTTCATTTATCTTATTTGATTTCGTAGCCTTTGAACTTCATGAAGACGGAAAAAAAATATTGAAAACAGTGTCAAATTCTTATAAATGGGATAAATCATATGTATTTAATTCATGTTGGACGGCGTTGTTTTTCCTTTTTTTATTATGGTTATCTATCACTTATCATCTAGATCCTTCGTATGAAGCAAAACTTTTCAAATCTGTACTAATTACTCAATGTTCTGTTATTGATTATTATCAAATAAATTATTTATGTACAATAACAATTGTAGTTTTATATCCTGTTAACTTATTAATTTTAATTGTGAGATTAACCTCAATATATTCTACTAGTAACAATATTTATAGAAAATGGTGTAATCGCTATAATTCAACGATTACTTTAATTGACGTTACTATTACATTTATACTTGGTGCTATTTTAAATATTTTCATTTTATATCTTAAATATTCACTAATAACAACCATAATACCTTTTATTATATTAATGTCAATAATAATATTATTTTTCCTTCGAAAATATTCAACACTAAAAGATTATTGTGAACAACAATATGAACAGGAAGTAAATTTTAATTCGAAAGACGAAACTACAGGTATATTTAGTTCTTTCTGATGATTTTTAGTCTATAGTATCTTTAAAATCTCATTGAAATTAGCGATCCACATGAACAGGACCTTTTCACAACTTGAATCTAATAGATTTTTATTTGATTTTACTGTACAAAGCACTATTTGTTTCAGTTTATTAGGCCAGGAACACTGATAAAAATTTTGATTTTTGAGTTATGCCTTTATATGAATTCTATACATATTTTCTAGAATTTCTGTATAACTTTTAATCATATACTCTATGG